GGATCTCTCCCCAAGAACCATTGGCTTGGACTAAACCCACACCTACGGAGCTGATCATTTCGAACAGATGAACACACTTCTATGACCTCTTCTGGGGGTCGGTTTGAATCTTGCCAAACCCTACATGCCATGTTTCTCAAGACACGATTGGCAATTTCAACTTGGCCTAGCTGATAATGACTATCAGGGGCTCCATGCAAAAGTGTGATTCCATAATGTTCGAGATATGCTTGAAACTCTCTTGAGATGTTGCGTCTATCAGCGTCCATGGAGATCGTTTGAGGGGCTCCGTACGGACGGGTCCACACTTGATGGGACGACTTTGACAGCTGGTACTGGCCGGGCTGCACTACGATCTGCTGGGCAAATCCAGTGGCAAGGTCAACGCATGTGAGAACATTCAAAGTTTTCTCGGAACGCTTTCCGGAAGCTTCATCTCTTTTAAGTTCTACTTGCACATAGTCAACACCTACGACCTGATTGGGGTGATCGGCATGTGGCATGGCACTTTTGCGATGCGATGCGGGATATTTCAACTCCTCACAAATCGGGCATTTAAACTCTTTAATTGTTTGAATGATCTCTTGGTTGGCCTTACAACGATGCGCCAGTCGAAGCATTCGTTCCACGGACGAGTGTCCAGTATTTGTGTGCAATTTCCGAATCAATGCTTCTAGACTGATATGCTTGGGATTCAGCAATGATTCTGGGCTGACTTGTGGAACTTCAACCTCTGGCTCGGCATCTTGGCTATCAGCAGGGTTGCGAGCTGCGACTTGGCTTTCAGCTGCAACACGGACGTCATCTTCATGCTCTCTGAGCTCAATCTCGTCTTCTTCAGCAAAGATTTCAGCTATGGTCTTTCGAACTGAGCTTGAAGATGCGTTGGCGAGACCGGCAGCAATGACTCTGGCAAATTTATTTGGGTATGTCTCAGCCCATGAAGTCAAATTACGCCCTCTGAACTGGCCTTCGAGATGATCATGTTCATGATTCTTATGACATCTGTACGGCTCAAGATGCTTCATTAGGCTTTCTTGACTACTTACGATGCGCGTTGGCTTCAGTATCGGCTTGTTTGACTTTGGACTTCTAAGACCCATGGCACATTGGTCCACTCGAATCGACCATGCAACGCCAATGCGAAGTTCACCCCAAGCCTCCGAGGACAGTGGGTTCTCGGCGTGTGAGTGACCTCCTAAAAGACATTGCAAATGCCAGGCTTCTGACACAGAATGCAAGAGTCTGCGGGCCTTGTGTCTCTGCTCTTCAATGAGTTGTTTTCGTTTTGGTGACAATGCCATATTGAAACGGGACCATGCTCCCCAACAACCACATGGGAAAGAGAACCAGACATGATCTGGATTTGTGATGGCAATGAGATACAGGAGATTGCGACGATCTCTCAATCTACTAAGATCATGACCATATTCCAATCCAATGCGAATGCTTGAGGTGTTGGTCACTTGCTCAAAGGCTTTTGACAATGGCGCCTTCCCCGTAAACACTTCTATCAATCCAACCTTGGTGTGAAGCTTTGAGGCTTGTGTACCCAACCATGTCTCTACTTCATGAACTACTTCATCATATTCCGTTTCGAGGCGAGACAAGGCAATGCGGACTCCGATCGTGCGGGCTGATCGAATGGCCTGTTCGACCTTTTCTCTCGACTCCGGTTCTAAGGACTGGAGATCGACATCTACCCAATCAGTATCCCCATACAAAGTCTCTAGTGACATGTCGTGACCTTCGGTGTGGAACTGCATGTCTTCATTTTCGAAGGGATCTCCAACAAAACAACAGTCACATTTGAAGTCTTGAGAATGGTCAGTCCGGCGTTCCTCAAAAGCTACTTCCTTCTCGGAAGGGGAAGGGTCATTACGAACCTTGTCATGGATCTCTGGTTGCAGTGGCCCAAAAGCAAAAACTGCTACCTGCATCGAATTCACAGGGCGTCGTGAGCTATTTGGTGCGCGAATCGTCCAGTCCTGTGAAGCAAGGTTTCCATCTTTATCCAGAGATACTACTTTCATTTCATACGAGTTAGTTGAGGCATCATGAGGCATTCTCTCTAACCGTGGCTTATATGCTACAAAGGCATGAGTCGTGGTGGAGTTTGAATCCTCACAAATGATGTTCTGTTTTTGGAATGTCTCTAAATCCACAATACCCCTTTTTGTGTTCTTAACCACATGTTGGAACGCCCTCCGAATGTCACATAGGGTGTTCTTTTCTGGGATATGTTTTGGACACTCCGAACCTTCAGCGTGATCGAGATCAATGCTCGGCTCATCATAGTTGGTTACGGTGGCGCGAACATCATGCGTATTGGGCTCATTGGGAATGTTCACATCACTCTCCGGCTGCCAATCAGACATCTCAGGCACAAGCGGGAGAAGGAGATGTCCGTTTGAGGCTCTTTTCAGCGGCTGCTGACACATACCATGCTTGCTGCTCGTGATGGTGTGGCCTTGGAGGTCGATGACTGCTTCCATGCCTTCCAAAACATTTCTCGACAGCAAAAATGGTGCATTGCCAGGAATGACGTATGTCGCGATGGTTACATATTGAACTCCCAATTGGACTTGCCAACGAAGGCCAGTGGAGGTCGTCTCCCAGTTCTACTGCAGGCAAATCAACTTGGCTTGGAGGTGGAAAACCATGATGCTTGAAAAACTTCTGGTATCGTTTTGCAGTTTCGGCTCCAATGACACAAGTGGTGCATCCAGTGTCAATGATGGCGTATCCTGCTGGAATGCTTGCCAAGAGAATCTCAACATCTTGTTCCAGCGAAGTTTCATGTACCATGTAAGAAAACTGCAGTACGTTCTCAACCACGTCCACCGTTTCAGCCAGGTTGATGTCTTCACGTTTGACTTTCTTCTTGGCATCTTTCACAGGCTTTGTTGGCTTCCTGTCAAAGGATTTCTTTTCATAACGTGGAGGCTTGACTGTCGTGGTGCTGTCGATGGAGCTGCTGTCGAGGTTCCATCAGGAGGTGGAACTGCTATCACACTCATGTATGGTTGGCGAGACTTTCGAATCTCTTTCATCTTCTTCTTGGATTCCTTGTAGGTCCGGAAGTTCTTCTTGAAATCTCGTTTGGCCTTTTGTTGTATGGCCAGAATCTCAGCCACATCTTCCTCTGTTCCAGAACCTTGTGAATCATCTTCATCGACATGCATGGCTTGTTCATTCTCCGACTCATCGCTGGTGAGAGGCCCAAGGGAACTCGAGGAATCGGCCTCTTGAACCACATAGGCTTCTCTCCTAGGACGTTGAGGTCTTCGATCATCGGCTCGAGGGTCCTCAATGTCACTGGCACGAAGGATCTTCACGACGTCATCAAATCGACTTGAGCCGCCGGTGGCTCTGAGCAGATGAGACCCTTGTTCTCTTGACAGGCCAAATTTGCGAAGGAAAAGATGACCAAGTACAGATTGTGGAAATATGGCCTTTGGCTTTGTATGTGACAATTCCAATGTTCCCAGCAATCTTTGCATGCGAAGTTGTTCCTTTCGCTGATCACCACGATGGGTGCCGGTGGACTCCTTGTCGTTCTTAGAGCTTTTCGAATCCTTGGAGCCGGACGAACTTGGTGGCTTCGAAGCTGCTGGAGTTCGAGGAGGCGTTCGTCTCGGACTCAACGGTGGGTCGAAAGGGCCATGCTGTGGAGCCGGAGCCGGATGCTCTGATCCTGTCTCATCAGTCTGGTCAGCATCAGGCTCCTCAGCATGATTATCGGTCGGAGGCTCTTCACCTCCAGATTCTGCAAGGCTGTCGGATTCGGCGGCTTGTGAATCGGTGGCATGGTGTTTTCTCTTCTTCCTAGCAGCGGCGCGCTCTTGCGCGATGAGGTTTTGCAAACGGTTCAATGCTGTTTTGAAGCGACTTGCAAAAGCTGTTGCACCCTCACCATTGCGACGCTTGAGGCCAAAAAGAAAATCATCTATGCACTCGTGAAGCTCAGTCTCAGGCAGGAAACGATAGTGCTCGTCCCAACACTTGCAACCAGCCTTCGGGGCTGCGAAGTGCAGCTACTGAAAGGTGCTCAGTAGCCTTCCATGCTTCTCCTGAGAGCTTTGCTAAAACACGAGGTCCAGCCAGATGTTGCTGTTCGTCCTCTAGGCTTGCAACTGCTAAGATCACCTTGCGGCGAAACTCACGATAGCCAGACGGTCGGCCGTCAAATGCCAAATCACGCAAACTGTCTCTGGTGTCCATCCAGGGTCAGAAAAAAGGAGTGAATGTCGCCAAGATCTCAATGAGGTGCCAAGATGGCACGGATACACCCGTGATGGGTGTCACAACCCGGATTGGCCGGAACCTAGGTGGAGGCCTCGCTGGAGCACGCGAGGCACCGCTACCATGTAAAATGGTAGGAGCCACAACAATCAGATGCAATGTACGTAGTCCAGTGCTACCCAATGTCGTCAACAAATGGGATCAACAAACCAGAAAGGTTTCACGAAAAACTCTTCCTCCCAGACGCTCCTTTTATACCATGGCGCAACCGGTGCGACGCACGACGTGCGTCGAGATTCAAGGGCCCTTGATCCAATGGCCATTGCGCATGACCTGTCGATCGAATGAACGATGGTCGAACTGCTTGCAATTTCACAGTATCTATTTGTGATTCTGGTAGGAACCACAAAGGTAGCACCCTACCTACAACCTGCCTCCTATTCAACGTCCTCCTACCCAAGCGGCCGCGCTTCTTTCTACCGAGTCCTGTCCAGTCTGAGTCCGCTCAACCCTTGAGCCAAACATTTGTTTGGCGTGCCTGCTTCGCATGATCCGAAATGCTTTCGGATCGAACTGCTATCGAACTGCTTGGTTGATTCATGAGAAGGGTTCATGGTGAACTTCCATCAAATTCACATATATCTAAGTACAATTAAGTATATATCTACAATCTATATAACAGAGAAAGCAATCTCAAAGACATGCCGTCTCACAGACGTCCAATGAGTTCAAGATAGTCCAAACATTACAATCACCTTGCCTTTGGGATCCTTTAGGCTAGCAGACTAGAAGTTGTGCAGCCCATGGCGTTTCAGACGCTCAGATGCCACATCACGCGGCCGGAACTTACGGATCACGGGCGCCCAAATCGGCATGACGGATTTGAGCCAGTATATTTAAAGGGGTCTATACATTGGATAAGTCGGAAATATCAGGTCTCCACCGAGTCCTGCGCCACTGTTTTCAAGGCTGAAAGGTGTGTCATCGGTTGCCACGGTGGCTCAGGACGTAGCGGCTGGTTGAGGGGGACCATCACATACTAAATTTCCTGGTCAGCAAGATGAAGAGGAGTGGGAAAGATGAAAAGACGAAGCCCGCAAGAGCCAGAGCCAAGGATACTTGTTGCATCGACCCTTCTGCTTTGGCCAACCAGGAGCGAGGAGAAACTTGGCATTTGAGACATGAACTCACTCCCCGGCGTGCAGCAGGGGTTACATTCTACATACTAGTCGCACTGCAATGTGTCCCTTATTTAGATCTCAAAAATGCCTCTAACAGATATTGCCCTCCAGCCTTTGGTGCCCCAAAATGGAAAACGGTTGCAGCTGGCTGTCAGTTTGGTTTCTTGATGTTTCTTGGATTGGAGTAGGACGAGTGATGGGTCAAATTCGACGGAAATGGGATGAAATGGGCGTGTCAATTCGACACTTGGGGAACTTGGATGAGCTCCACCCATGACAAGCGGCCCACCGGGACACCGGGACGGCTGAATCAGACACCGTGACACCGTGACCACGGTGTCGAGCGGGTGAGGGAGCGAACATTCGCCCATTTGATCCCGCGTTTGGCGGCCATGTCATCGTCCTTGGCTTTGCTGAATTGGAGGTAGAGCTGAAACGATGCAGTTTGGGGATGAATTGGAGGTAGAGTTTTGCTGAATTGGAGGTTGAAATACAGTTTGGGGATGGGTTTTTGATATTGTCCTTGGCTGCCCGACCAGTTTGGCCGCCATCCTTCCAGCTATTACAGCTATCGAGCCAGCAAACGTGACTACCACATATCGAGCAAAACGATGAGTATCGAGCGAACTGAGAACATTGACGGTCTTCTCACGAGTTTGGGGGACGACAGGAATGCTGAAGTCGACTGTGTGGGTGAGGCTCAAGCTTTGTTGTTCTGTTTTGATCCAAAAATTCTGGACATGGCCAGGTGACTGTTGTGCCAGAAAGGCTGCAGTAGTGTAGAATTGATGTTGGTTGATTGCGCATGGTTTGCACAAACATTCTCGGGTGTTGGGGAGAGACTTTGTTTTGATTGAATGTTGATCGGTCACACGTTTGGTACATGTGTTCAATTGCTTGGTGTTTCAACAATTGTGTGATTTCCGAGCACGCTGAGCACACCCGTGGCTAGGAATAGCCGTTCCATAAGCCTAGTAGCAAGAAGTTACTAGTAGCTAAGGGCATCTCTACAAGTAACAAGTGCATCGCTACTAGTAGCAAGAAGCTACTAGGTGGAGCCCATCGCTATTAGACTGGAGGCCATTGCTACTAGTAGTAGTAGGAAGCTACTAGGTGGAGGCCATTGCTACTAGCAGCCAGATGCTACTAGTTTGAGGCCATCGCTAATACTATTAGGTTGGAGGCATTTGCCACTAGTAGCAAGAAGCTACTAGGTGGAGGCCCTCGCTATTCGGCTGGAGGCCATTGCTACTGGTAGCAAGAAGCTACTAGTAGCCGAGTCTATGGCCTGTGTAGATCTACAGTTCTTATTCTTCCGCCGGAATCGATGCCAGCCCACCAAGGCCCCCGTGTGCACATGGCCAACGGTATGCAAAGAAAGGTAACCCAGATATGACCAATGCTGCTTGAACTCACTGATCAGGTGTTTTTGATTGTTTTTGTATGTCCTTGCATTATCAACAGTGCTTTAGCAAAAGCGTATGTCCTACGTGTTTACTTGTTTTTGACAGGTTCATTTTGGTGTAAACAATCAGCGAAGCCAAGGTGGCGGATTCATACGAATGCAGAAAAGCATGTGGGCGAAGTCCCGACTGCAAGTTCTTCATGTATGAGACTTGGCACACTGAATTTTGGCCATGCTTTTACCGCAACTTCTTGGTCATGTGGGGGCCTGTAAGGCCTATAAACGACGATGCGACACATGTTTGCACACATCTTTGCACTCATGTTTGAGTGCATCGTTGTTCTGTCCAAATATTTACCCCTGCAGTGACTAGTCCACGTGAGTCACCACAGAGAGAGAGAGAGAGACAGAGGGACAGACAGCTGGTGGGCAAAAATACATGTAATGTATGGTTCTTTTTCACTCGTCCAAGGTTTTTGCCTAATTACAGAACACAAATCCGCAGGACACCAGGTTAAATAGAGTTCTTTTTGGTGGTGAGTGTCGTTTAAAGCCTGCTTTGATTGACTTGCCTCGTGCATGGAAGTGAGGATAGGAGGTCTGTGGAATGTTTCTAAATGTGCGGACCAGCAAAATGCAAGCTTTCATGTTCGATTCCATTTATTGGAAAGGCGATTGCTTCCCACGCTTGCTCAAACAAAGGACGATGGGTCACCTCGTGCTTTCAAACAACACATCATGTCTCAGTGGAAGTGAAGTTCCCTGGAAGCTTTAGTAGAAATCACCGCTGTTCCTTTCCGGTCTAGCGCTCAAAAAGGTCGGTCAGACCTAAACCGGCTCGTCAGGACCAGGGCACGATGGACTGCTGGCTCTTGGGTGACCTGTCCGGGATCGGATCGGAGCGCGGAGCGACCGGCCCGACGCCCGGCCCGACGCCGTGCCCCGAATCCGGAGTCACTGAGCCAGACGTGTTTGGTTGTGAATCAATAGGGATATTGCCCATCGTTTTGAAATAGAAAAATACGGCAGCATAAATTGGTTGAAGGCAAATGTTGTTTGCCTTCCTTCTTGCTGCACAAAATCCCTTAAAATCGCGAGCCTTGGGCATTCCCGAGGTGAGGATTCTGACTTCGAAGACGCTCCTGGTACCATCGCTGGGCCCTTGAGTTGCTTGACGGATCTTGGCGGTGGAGTCGGACGTGGGAGGTCAGGTGCCGAGGTTGTTCGGCCAAACTGGGTCTTAGTGTGGCACCATGGATTCACCAAGATAGGGATAGACTCGGATAGACCTGGCCCAGAACCACATAAGTACTTGCAGACCGTGTATGGATGGTTGTTACAGACCATCGGATCTACCATGGTGATGGACAGAGCCGGTCCGGTCCGTCGCAGAGCCGATCCGCCGATCCGTCGCCGAGTCCGCAGGTTGTGACTTGGACAAGACCTTCTCAGACTACTTGGAGCTTGTGCCCCGGCAGATATCGGCCCAGATCCTTGGGTTTTGCCATACATTTGCGTTATCCAGAGGGTTCGCAGTATGTGGTATAGATACTAGATGGACATGAGAAAGGATATGCTTTGTCTAGCATTGTCATGTTCAGCTTTGTTATGCCTATTATCCAGCACCGACTTCAACATCCTGCAAGTTGTTTTTGCTCGGTAGTTCAACTTACCTTGATCTAGGTCTAACATTCGCAAGCAACATAAACCTTCGGTGCACTGAACAAGCACCTTCGACCCGCGGTTCTCCGCGGTTCACCAATAAACGCCCACAGCTTCTGTATAACGCCCATGGAATGTCAGAAAGCTATAGAGAAACATTTGCAGACTCAATTACAAGGCAATGACTCCAAAGAGGGTTTTCACGCCGCAGATAACAAAAGAACACACTGAGGAAGTTCCAGGTATTTGGATGACTTAAACAGCATTGTTGCTAGGTTTTGCACACGAATACAGGTAGTGTTGGAAGCACGAGGGAATGGTAGACGAATAATGTTGCGCGACTCCGGTAAAGGAATGCACCTTCATGCCTTCGAAGCTCATTTTAGGGAACGTTTGGAAAGACAGGGAAATCCTCCTTCCCTCCTCACCCTCCCTTTCAATACAGGCCATAGTCAAAGCCAATGAGCACGGATGATGAAGCGCGGTTTGTCGCTGGCATGTTCGATCATTCCTCATTTTGCTTGACATACATGGCGCTAGAGGAAGCGCGTAGGTGCCGTGTAGACGCGAAAGAAACGCTGCATTTGGGTGCTTCCAGGAAGAGAGCGACAAGGAGAAAACCAAGCGAATCACCGGCATCATCCAGAATTTGGCGAAGCTGGTTCTTGATCACGACTACAGAGGCAGACCGCGGCATACAGGAAAGACACTAAGGGGGCGGTTGCCAACGCACATCAATTGCAGTTGATTGGGGGAGGGTCATGGAGGGGCTACGCTTCAAGATGGAAGAGATTGGAGATGGCATGAGATGAAGGCAGTATTAAGTTTTCCTCGGAATGGACATGGCCCACCTGAGTGTAGGGTTTCTCTGAATCATGTTCCCGGTTTTGTGGGGCTCACGTTCGGTCATGGCATGGCCACGTTCGGTCGGTTGAGTCCTTGAGTCCCCGTCCTCCCGTCCCGGCCGGTGCAGATGAATTATTCCACTCAATGGTGACGTTGGCCACCAAGTTTGCCAACTTAAAAAGTCCGGAGACCCAGAGGATCCTCTAGAGGATCCGTTCCTTCGTGCCACGCTTTCAGGCTGTTGCCGCTTTTTTTGGGGAGGCATGTTGCCTGCAACGCACCGTCGAGTCGAGGGTGTTGAATGAGTCCGTTCCAAGTCAGAGGTGGGTTTTGTTCCCAGACACTCCATGTATGTCATATATGCCTACATTGGGGTGGCTTCAGGGGCATACATGGAGTGTTTGGGGTTCCTCTTTGGCTCTTTGTTTTCCAACATGTTCCAACCATTTGGTCGCCTGTGCGGGAGTGCTTTTTTGGGAGGGGGAAGGGGGAGTCAGTTAGTTTGCGGGCTTTCGGCAGAAAAGAGGTTTGGACGGAGTTGCTGCATTGACCAGAGGACTGGTCATGTCACAGTTTCGACCGGGTGTGATGTTTCGACCGGGTCTTTGGCCTGGTCTTTGTGAAGTCTGAGAAGGCCGAGGTTCTTCGAGACGAGGTTCAAAGTCACGAGATGTTCCTTTTTGGCCGCACCACCCGTCGAGGTGCTTCAATCCAAATGAAGGTATGTTTTAACAAATCTGAATAGATTCGTTAGCGTCCGATCGCTACTAGTATCTACTTGTAGTGATGCCTTTGTTACTAGCAGCGTCCCCTTGTTCCGTTCCTAGTAACAGGAACCCCTAGTAGCGTCCTTGATACATGAAGATTTTATCAAGATTCGACATGGGTTCCAAGGCGAAGATCTTGCCAGCGTGGACTACAATGAGGTCATGGAGATTGACACCGTGGCCATCGATGCTTGGTTTAGGGTGCCAGGAGTGTGACTCACAGGAATGTTTGGGGAGGAAGACTTCCAGATTTGGTGAAGCTGTTCACGCTGTTGACCTTCTGTTTGGTTTTGAACAGCACCCATCCTTGTTTTGGATGCCTTCAGGTTCCCGCATGTGCAATTATGTACCTGCCCGTGTATGCAATCGTTTGCATTCATTTGGTTTCGGATCCTCTTTAGAGACCACGACGTCTTGTCTCCACTGTGTTCGTTCACATCCCACGTTCGGCAAACCCCCAAAACATACCAAAAGCCATTCGCCTTCGATTCTGGTTGGGCATGGGCACTTTGCATTTTTCTTGGTCCGCAGATCGACGGGGCGTGGACGCCGGGCAACCAGCATCCAGGCCTTCTTTGAACGGTCAGTTGAGAAAGGTTTTTGGCGTTTCAACCAATGGGTCATCAATGGGTTGTCTCGGACCACCGGGTTTTTTTCTCGCGTGTCATCGTGCATGTCCTGAACATGTTGGACATGCAGAACACATAACGACGCCATTCCAACATCAACCGCCTCAATACAAAAGGAAGCATCCTCCGGGTCCCAACACACCAGGTCTTTGACCCGAACACCGGCGCGGGCGATGGTCTCAGGAGTGGTTGAATCATGAAAACGGGGAGCTGAGTTGGTACTCCGCCTCCGAGCGAAATCTGGTGCTGACCTTTGGCCGAGAAGTCGAGTGGAGAAGGCGGTCGAGAAGTCGGTTGGAGACCTAGAGGCTACTAGAGGCTACGAACGGAACAAGAGGACGCTAGTAGCAAAGGGCATCGCTACTGGTCACAAGGACGCTAGGTTGGTTGGAGACCATCGCAAGGTTCGATGTTTGGTTGTTGCTTATTGCCATGCCTTACATTCGAGGGCGAAACTAAGAGGTAGATTGATGAAATGCAAGTTGTCCAACTTAGGTTTGTGTGTTCGTCACTTTTGGAATCCCAGTTTTCACAACCCTCATTTCTTTCGTCCCAAGTGTTCGTCACTTTCGTGTGTCACGGACTGTTCCTTGACTCAAGCCCCACAGCAGAACAGCAGACTCAGCAACTATTCATGCGCTTTCTGACATACCTCGCCCAGGACCCGCACAGACCTGGATTGGCTTTTGAAACTGACCACCGGTGCCTTGGCGGCCTTGGCTTGGACCACTCTCCGGATCGACCCCGGCGCGAGACGCCGCTCCGGCGGAGGCGAGGTTTTAGACGTTTTATGTCGTCGCCCTGAGTTGCCGGAACAGCATTTTGGGGGGGGCCATGGCGCCATGGCCATAAATCTTCCATTAGAGGAAGGGGCTGGTAAGCCTGGTAAGCGGCTGGTACAGGTCTTTTTTGGCAGGGTCCTTTTGATTTAGGGAGCAAAGGCACCAAGTCCCAACTCGCGTCACTTCCGCTCCCTCACATTCACGCCCGAAGTGGTTGCAAGGTGAGATTTTGAGTCCAAGCTTGTTGACTCTTGTTGAAGCTCAGCTTGAAGCAGGTCAGCAGATGGCATCCAACCTCCACCACCCTCACCACCTGTTTATTTTGCCGCTCCGTGGGCCAACGATGCAACATCGTCAAGGGAATTTGCCTCCTGCGGCTTCCCAAGGCCAAGAAGTCTCACCAGAAGACGTGGAGCGGCGGAATAGGCGATGTCATGGCCGGTGTCCATGGCAGGGTGAATCCTAGTCGAAGCTTGTTGGGCGTATTTGGAGACATCAAACATGTGTTTCCTGTAGACTTTTGATGAATGAAACCCGCCCATTTGGATTGTGAAACCTGTTCATTTGAAGATTTGATTGATCAAGTAAAAGTCTACATTAGTCAGGGATTCACAATATCTAAGACCAACCCTCGTCGCTGATGTTCCGTCACTCTTGGGTTATATATATATAAAGACACTTCTGGTGAGCAATTTTGCTATCACAAAGTTTCAAGGGTGAAAGAATTTGTTCATCATCCCTTCTTGACGAGGTCAAAGTGATTGGAGTTTACCAAGAAATCTCAACTCAACCCAGGATTTGTTGCAATATATATATATTATATATATACTTCGTCCATCGCATGCAAATCATCGTTACTTCAAAGTTATATATATATAACATCGGTGGCAGTAGCTTGTCCAGTAGCAATTCTCGCATTGAGTGTTTGTGGTCGGGGTTTGTATCATCATTAGCTGATGCTGAGCATGCGACTGGTCTCAAATGTGTCCTGACCCAGAAAGAGACAACACATGACAAGACACCTCACCCAGTACCTCACCCCTGTTGGAATGATCTTTGCCAATTTTGGTTGGGGGTTGGTATGTCCATCCCTTAGTTCATTGATACATTTGGGAAGAGGACCAACTCAACAACTAATTCCAGGTTCCGGTGATGCAACAACTCATCACCCTGGGGTTGACTGGACTGAAGGTTTCGGTGCTTTGGCTCTCCTGCGGTGCTTTTCGCCCTTACCAATCGATACTCTCCAAACTGGTGAAAGCATGTAAAAGCTAAGACAACCAGTGACAACCAGAAATCCAAGCAGGTGTCAGCTCCCATCCTAAGGTAAGGAGGTTCCTGCAAGGAGACCAGCCCCCTGACGATAGGTGAACCTCTCGAGCCATTGATCAAAGGATATCAAAGGTTACACTATTTGTGACCTGTGCAGCAACTTCTACGGGGCTGAACGGTGGTTTCTCAATTTCTGGTAGTGCTATGCTGCGTGTCTTTCTTGTCACCGACATCCGTCATGGTTTTCCTCGGATTTGTAGCAGGACCATGAAGGTTGGCTCTGACCATGCGTGCCTCTCGGCCAATTTTGTGTATATAAGTAGTATGGGGCAATTTGTTGGGGCTGTGTTGAAGTTGACTATGGGGTCCCCTCGTTTTGCTCCAGGACGATTATTGAGATGTGAGCAAGCACGCAAGCACGAGGGCAGGCCAGGCAGGCAGGCAGGCAGGAAGGAAGGAAGAAACAGAACAACTCAGCACAAATGCCCCAGAAAGCCCAGGCTAGTTATGAACCAACCACTGAACCAACCTTTGAGATCTTTCCTTGACTTGCTGGCGTAGTTCTTCAACATATTTGCAGGACGACTAGGTTCACCAGGCGCTGCCGTGGTGTGAAACCATGGGAAACCCGTGGACCCCGAATGCCCAGACGAAAAGAACAAAAGGAGACAACCCACCACCTTGGTGCCCTGAATAAGAAAGGACACCAAGGCTTCTTGGAGAATGTCTGATTTGCAAGCTTCATCAAGTTTCTTTGTTGCTCTTTGGCAGTTCTTTCCCATGGCCCATGAGGCTTTGGCTTTTGCGGTGACCGGGGCTACGCTGCTCGCAGCTTCGGTGCCGGTACCCCTTGGACCAGCGCGCAGGCAATGGCGGCAACGTTGATGTCGCGTGTGATGCGACGGTTGCAGGGCCGGTGGTTGGTGTAGGGGGGCCACGTTGCAAGAAGTTGTTCATTACTTTTTATATGAGATTCGATTTGAATTTCTTGGAGACACTGTTATGTAGGTGCCAGGGTCCAGTCGTACCGAACCTGAGAAGGTGCGACTGGATCCCTAGGGGTCATCTTACAGTACTCTCATGAAATTTCACAAACTCCGATCAGAAAATGTTGCTCTCTGGTTGCCTTGAGCTCGCAGGAGGTGCGCATGTTGATTTTCCATTTTGCAGCCACTTGCAGCCACTTGCAAGTGGCTGCCAAGTGGCTGCAAGTGACTGCTACTTCTGTCCGGAGAATATCATGATTTCTGAAGAAAACCAAGATTTCTGCAATGCTGCTTTGCGAAGAAATTCCGGTTTTCTCCCGAGCTGCGCGCGGAGAAATCATGAAATAGTCCAAGACTTTTCCGAGAAAAGAATTCAAAACTTCTGCAGAGCTAGCGACGAAGAAGTCTTACCGTTTTTACATAAAGAACTCAAAGTACAGTGTTGAAGTTTACGTGCTCGAGTGACAAGTGGCTGCAAGTGGCTGCCAAGTGGCTGCCTGAGCAAGTGGCTGCAAGTGACTGCAAAACAAATAATCAAAAATGTACGTCATTTGCTCGCTCTCTGAAATGTTGGGTGGAACCAGCCAAGTCATGAACAGCTTTGAGAGGAAAGCAACTAGAAGCTGTTGATTTGATCTGAATGGTTTGAATGTTCGTGTAGCCTGTCAGGGTAGTAGTCGTGAACATCTTTGTCCCAGAATGACCAACCATAAGCCAATTGGATTCAGTGGATTCCCGTTTGTGCGACGTTCTTGATCCCCAAAAGACCGTTTGAGGCTGCATCAGTTCCTCTAAACATCTGGGACTTGTGGGACGTGGGGGACTTGGAACAATGAATGGCACAGGAAAAACCAGCCTCTTCCGCTGTATCCGGATTTTGACATATCGGTTTACAATGGTTTACACGTGTCCATGCCTGTAAAATGCCCCACAAAGGACCACAGGTTTGTTGATGTCATTGATCTTTCTCACCTTTCTCGCCTTTTGGGAAGACACATCCACCATGAGGGATCCGGCATGCACGCTTGCGAACAAGTATTGAAGTATTGTCTAATTCCCCAGCTGATCAGGTGGACTATTGCTATGATATCGCGCTAGCTCCGAGTGCTCGCACCGCAGTGATGTGCGCCATCAATCAGATTAAGGGTTCCTTGGCCACAGGGAGAACGGTTTCTTCGTGCTCGACCACGGAGTGTGGCGAAGTGACCGGTCGATGGTTCCTTGGTTCCACACGGATCCACACGGAAGAGTTTCATGGCTTACTTCAGGTTCAATTCTTTCTCCAGGATCCACATGTGATGTGTGATCTACAAGCTAGGATTGGTCAACACTCAAACTCAAGTCAGGCGCAGAGAGAGAAGTTCAGAGTTCAGAGCTCCCAACATTTGAACGACTTCAAATGTTGAATCATCGAAATGCCTCGGTTTGACTTGGTGTCCGAATCCGATTCTTTGGGATCCTTGTGCACGGATGTCTATTCTTTGTTTGGCTTCATCTTCGCTCAGGAAAGGTGCCAGGCATCCGATTCGTGAACGTTGGCTATTATGGCCGGGGTTCGTGCAACTCGAACCCTGCGATCTTCGTCCAATCTAGCCGCCTGGCTGCTGAAGGTCGACGACCCCGCGGAGGTTTGCTGGACCAAGGATGGCCAAGGTCCCCGCCTTTCCTGCAGTTTTGCTGGGCCAATGTTCGTGAAAGCCATGAGGTTTCTTCAACACATCAAACTGGAGTATGGCCCCTGCAAGTAGGAATATTCTCTCAGATCACTCGTCCATGGAATATGCTAAAATCACTATAGTTCTTGCGAAACAAGATCGGTTTGTCTTGCGACTTCGGTCGGTTTGTTTTGCCGTTGGCTTCGCCCGGTCGACCGGGCCCCGTTCTGGCGACGGTCACCGAGGCGCTGCAGGCTGTTTTGCAGATATCGGCATGATGAGCCTCCTGGGCCACAGCGTGAAAGAGGGGTGACGAACAAGTAGAGCATTTGTTGTTTCTTTCAGGGGTTGGGTGAAGTGATGTTGGTTTTGTTTGGACAAGTGTGCAGAGACCAACCGCGGCAGTGCGCGGCAGTGAAGCTTCATCAAATTGTTTTGAGGATGTTGAATAGAAATGAAAAGAACATATATAATTAGTAGAACAAATGTAGAACATAGGTCTTTGTATAACCTGCATATGCGATAGCCAATGATAGCCGTTTTGTATATTTTCGTATGATAGATAGATGCACATTGATCATTCAAAAAACATCGTTTCACAGCAGCTGAAAAGCAGATCTACCAAGATAGAACATCGATATGACAGGTTTCTTTCCAGTTGCCGGCTTGTTCAAAATGAGAACAACTTTTCCTATACAGAGGAAGATTTGCAAAGGGATCCCGGGAGGAAAATCAGCCCAGGTGGTGTCCGGAGCATCTTCGGCAACCAGCAGCTCAACCTGCAAACCCCCGGCTGCAATGACTGCGGTACCGCCACACACGAGATGCTGCACGCGATGGGCATGGCGCATGAGCAATCGCGACCCGACCGGGATCGCTATGTGACCATCGCCCCTCGCCCAACGAACCGGCCGATGCGAACCGGGCGAACCGGGGTTTCTTGAACGAGCTGACGGAAAATATGGCTCTTACGGTAGCTGTTCAAGTGTTTTTTCCAGGAGGCTGCTTGGGGGGACAGGGTGGCACATAAACAGTGAAATCAGTGTACTCAGGCTGTGTGGCCAATAGCTCTTCAACAGCTCCCCGGTGATGAGACATCTTGGGCCCCCCATCGCCGCAGGTGTCCTGTGATGTTTTGCCTTTGTTCGGATGGAATTTGGAGAAGTGCCTTTATTTGATCTGTTTTGATTTGCGAACTTTGGGGAATTGGAGAAAGGTTGAACAACTCTGTCAAGAAGCGTCACCTCAAGGATACCATGTGATGGAAAAAAAGAGCGGTGACAAGCCCGACAGTGATTATAAAACATGGAGAAAGATGGAGAAAGTAGCAGTTTTTAGCAGAGTTGCAACAAAATGTCCTTGGACAAACAATGTCTCTCTCCACGGCGGATATTAACTTACTGTAAAGTCTTTGGAAGTATTGGGCCGAGAGAACACCTCTTGGTTAGGGTTGCACGTAGGCAGTTGATGGCACTTATAAGTGGGAGTGGTTCTGCCAGTTCTTGTCTCCCCACTTAGTTAAGTTTCGTGCCTCACTGTCGGACCACCGCACCCGCAAGTGGCACTGGTCAGCGCCACAGGTTTGGCACAACATCCAGCGGGGGATGTCAAACCAATTCTCAGTGATGTCCGGAGCAGACACGAGTCAGCCATATGACATCGGGCTGCTTGGCTTCAAGGGTCGGGTGAAGGTCGCGAGAATCCTTGCGATTAAATCTACATTAAATTGAAACTGGTCAGAGAAGTCTGAAACTCAAACGTTGCTGGACCGTCTAACAGATGTTTACTGATAACAACGGCATGCCTAGAATCACCTGTCAGAGAATTCCACCTGGTGATCAAGGCATCTCAGCGGAGCCTTGGAAAACGTAGAACCAGGAAGGATGGCATTCCATGTTTTTCTTTACATCAGCTGCATATGTTGGTGGGTTTTGACAGTCCTTCGCCCAAGATGGAGATGATGCCTTTGGCCCAAATGCCCCGCAGCTGTGTACACCTGTGTCAAGAGAGTTGTTTCATCTTGAGGATTCTTCCCTGCCTGCTTGGTGCATCATTGCTGTGAACTGATACCACCGCGAGATGGGCAAATGTTGCCAAGACTCCAATCATATGCTAGTTTTTTGCCCAAGGCCTGCCACTACACAACACTGTTTAGCACAACGGCGTTTCTGTGTGGCTGGGGGCGATACCGCAAAACAGCGTATTAAAATGCATCAGCGAACTCCCATCGGCGAAGAATCACTTGTTCGCGTTCCAACTCTCAAGCCCCTGTAAAGCACACAGCCCGCGGGTTCCAACAGGGCATGCTCAGGCACTTTTCAGCCCGTTATAAATATATGGGCTGCGCTCAAAAAGCCCTACTCAAAACATATAGATAAACGTAAACTTTTAAGTTTGGAGATGTGCTTTTAACTCTTCGTTTAGAAGCGGACCCCCAGCAGACTATGGTGATACAGCAAGGCAGCGCTAGGTTGGCGCTAGGTTTCTTCATAACAGGATGATAAGCAAGCAGGAAAAAGAAGAAGCAAGACAAGAACAGGAAAAACAAACAAGAAGAAGAAGAAGAAGAATGCACAACAAGAAGAAGAAGAAGACAAGCAAGCAGGAAAAGCAAAAATCTGACAAGAAAACATTGACGGAGATTTTTGCGCTAGGCTGGCGCTAGATCCGCGCTAGCACTGCGCTAGACGACGGTCCATTTCTTGACCATCTGACCATCCAACACCCAAATCTTTTGAGTCAGCTCTTACATCCTTCCCATGTCGTTCTGAAGGTTTCTGAGAACTAAGGATTGGAAACAACTGCAGAAGTCTAGAAGCAGCAGTAGCAGCAACAACAACAGCTCCAGCAGCTCAACAGGCTCCTGAAGGGTCCGCGCTAGACACCTCTCACAGTTTTTGCAGTTGACACGTCTTCATGTTTAAGATCCCGGTGGTTTGAGCGCGGTTGGAGTTTAAAGGAGATTTAGAAGCGGGCCCCCATGGAATTGCGATGAGTGTACCATTTTGGGAAAAGACATGTTCGAAACCAACCATATATAACATAACATTTTACTATATTATATATATATATATATGTGTGTGTGTGTTGTTTTCTACTTATTAGAGAAAGACCTCTAAAAAGCTCATATGAAGCCAATCATTCCAAAAGGATTCAAGGATCATCAAGGATTTTGTGTTTTCTTAAATGTGTTTGTTTTCCAGCTTCGATGCCTTTAGGTCCATCATGCACTACGATTCCCATGCCTTCAGCGGGAACGGTCAGCCGACCATCGTCGCCAAGGGGTCGCTCGGCGGGACGCGCGGTGGCGCCACCTGGCGCGCGAGCCGGGCGCCGGTGCCCTGTGGCCGAGCCTCCCCCGTCCTGAAAAGATGAGGGTTCATAAGAAGCTATTAGTGGCTCCTGGCCATACTACTAGGAGCCAATAGCTACGTTCGTAGCGTCCTTGCTACAAATGTAGCGATGCCCTGACCGCTCCTAGTAGCGAAATAGCGAACCTTGCTCCTAGTAGTAAAGCCAGGAGTACCAGTAGCGTCCTTAATGGTCCATATAAAATGGGAAGTTGGGGGGGGGGCCGTTGTGCCATGAAAACTGATAAAAAAACACTAAGGATATGGAAGTGGATGACATGGTCTCTTGAAGACCACTTTCCCATACCAACAGGGAGCTTTCCACTTCCATGTTAGTGAGTCAGAGTGTACATCCTTTGGATGCATCACGCTGATTGAAAACCATCACGCTGAGTCCACATTTTGGCTGCCATGGATTGATGATTTGGTTAAGGCTAGGCTGAGTTGAGAGAAGTTAGAGTTAGAAACAATATCGAAAAACATTCATATATGCTAGCAGCTGGTGTGTTCTTTGGCAACCTTGATCATATTTTCTATCCAGTTGGACCTACCTTGCAAATTGTCAAGGACGGATTCCCAGTTGGTGAGGAGCGCAGAGTTGACACATGTTGACGCCGACATTGACACCCACACCATGTGGGGCAGAAAAGGAAGGCGGAAGAATATGGAAAACGTCCATTTGCAAACTCCACCACAACACCCACCTGTGTTGTGTGTGTGGTTTTTAGCTTGCTTTCCATCGCCACCGCTTCAACCCCAGGGAACACACGGGCCTTCGCCGCGTCGCTCTCTCGCCCGCCCCAGATCTGCCTATAGTGCCGCGGCCCGCGGCTTTGGGAACTATGCACGTGGCTTGGGCGGAAGAGTCGGCGTCCCGAGTCCGAACTCCGAGGGGCCTGAAACGAGTCCGAACACTTCTGGTCAAACACTTGGACACACTGCTGTTCTGTGTTCCAAGCAGGTGGTGGCACAAGAAGCCTGTGAAAGGAGCCTACAAGAGTCACTCAACTCTTGTCGACGATTCCGGCTCCATTTTCAGGGCTAGCGGCTACGTTCCCTGAAAATATTAATGGCAGTGGAAAACCACCTGTTTGCAAGTTTGTAGAAGAAAGGATCATCCAAAAAGAACATGCCATCCTGAATCCCCACAAAACCTGAGAACCTTCAACGGAGTGTACAATGCTAGTAGCTTCTTGTTACTAGTAGCGATGCACCTTGTTACTAGTAATGCCAGGAGCTACGTTCGTAGCGTCGTTACTCGTTTGGCAACCTGGTCCGTCGACCCCTGTTTGGTCCGTTCTTCCCAGTGAAAGGCCGTCGGATTTTTTGATTTTACGGATGTCACGGCGGCGGCTCGGCGGCCTTTTCGCGCAAGCTTTGGGATGAAGTTGGATCAACAAGTCTCACTTCAGCATGTTGATTGTTTCATCACATGTGACATCACATGTGTCATCACAGTTGGACTTGGATTGTTTCATCACATGTGTCCACGAGTCCACGAGATCCATTGGACTTTGGAGTTCGCCGCATCCAGACTCGCGAGTCCGAGAGCTACCAGTGCCCACCATCGTCATTGGGCTCGCAGGTCCGGTCGGTGAACTCTTCTCCCCCGGTGTCGGTGAGTCGAACGAAGCAAAACGACCAGCCATGCCATGGCCTTAGCCACGCGAGGCGTGAGATTGGGGCAAAGAACCAGCATGAGCGTCGCGGACGCCAATCAACTCAAGGCTTTGTACAACTGTGCCTTGACATCCGCCAGAGCGCAGCGGGGATTGCGCGAGAGGAGACGGAGACGGAACGGAGGGTGAACACCCTTGGATGTCGGATGCTTGAAACTGTTCCCCTAGGAAGCCTAGGTTGGATCATGTTGGATCTTGACATACAACAAGCCTCAAGAGGACAGCAACACTTGGCATATCTTGGCATATAAAACATTGCATAGGCAGATACATACTCAATACTCAGGATTGATGTGCTCCAGGAACCAAGTAATGCCCTCTCGGAACCATGGGTGTTTCTGAGTTGCCTTCTCCCAGCCGACTGTCCCGATAATGCAACCCACTATAACCCACTATAAGCTCGACTTGCCTGGCAAGAGAAGATGAACGGTTCTTTTGCACCTTTAAGAAAACCAGTTCATGATTTCCTTTAAGTGGTTTGGAACCGCTTGCCCTCATGGCCTAACGAATGAACAACTTGGATTACAGTAACCCTTTGTACGACTGGCAAGTCCGTGTGAATAGTTTTAAAGCATGGATGAGGCTCAACGCCCTGATCATCAGCCTGATCTTAAAAAGCTATACCACCATGTCACCACTGCGTGCCGCAGAACTTGAGTTTCGGGCCTCCAGTCGGATGGAGCTTGCAACATGTTAACTGTCTTCATGGCCCCAGCCATCGCTGGGCTGTCTCACTGGTCGCCTCTTTTCCGCCGTCAGGTAGACCACCTTCCTTCACTTACTGTGACCCTGTCAGTTCTGGACAGCCGGGAAGCGCGCGGAACCGGGAAGCGACGATCGCACTCGTACAGACTGGGTCCCCACACATAAGGCCGTGAAAGAAAGAATTTCGACTGGTCTGTCAGGTATCCATATGGCAGTTATAAGCTTGTGTATATATATATATATATTTGTATAAATATATATGTCGCAAAACCCGAAGGAATTTGCACTACCATATATATATATTGTCCATTGGCAGGTCACCAATAGACTACCCTGCACTACACCGGATCGGACGCACGCTTCTGAGAGGGATTCGGTCCGACCAACCTCGCATGGAGCACCCCTTTTCAAAGCTCGAGACCGACAGTTCCAGAGCCCAAACCCTCAAAGCTGAACAAAAGCCGCACTAATCAACAGAAAACACCCACCCCCCAAAAACATACTTATTCAAAACAAACATAAGCAGAGCCTTCCGAAAAACACCACGTGTTTGTTCCCGCTTCACTCACTCCACCCCACCGGGGTGCTTCGGATCGCGCGCGCGCGCGAGGATTGTCGTCAGTCCCGCTCCTCCTGGGTGGTGGGGCAGTGGCAGCCGCCGGAGTCGCTGGTTTCTTCGTGCCTTGGAGAATCAATGGAGGTTGAAGTGAGGGATGAAGGCCATCAGGCGCCGAGGTCGGTCCAGGGGAAAGATGACAGACAAAAACATGGTCCAAGGGGTTGGTAAAGGAGCGCAATTGTGCTTGAGAGGACTTTTGTTCACTGTGTGCAGCTGTACAAAACGTACAGTACACAAATGCAGCCGACCATCATACGTATGTGACAGGCGATATGACAGATTCATTGGAATGTCCCTTTGTGAGGAGATGGAGAGTTCATGCACTAAGTCCAATTCGATCGCCCTAAGTCCAAGCGCTCAGGGCTCTTCGCAATGAATCATTCATGCTCAATCAATCGGAACTGACGAATGTGCCCGTTCGGGAAGAGAGGCAAACAGTGAACGTTCACAGGCTGTTTGTGATTGTAGGTACGTACCAGGGCGTAGCTTATTTCAACGTGTTAGTTGAGTAGTTGCGTAGTTGATCATAGGGACGGAACTTGATCGTTTAGACTCCCATCTCGAATGGGCGGTTGCAACGCCTAGGCGGGTTGACTGAATGGGTCGTATGTTCAAGTGATAGGAGGACCCATTATAGGGCGTAGGGTCTCAGTTAGGAGGACCTGAGACAGGTGTTCAAGTGATTCATCCAGTGGTTCATCCAGCTGAATGGTCATTGACGACCCAAAACCCTAAACCCATCAGACCCTAAAGACATCCCTGGAGGATCTGCACAAAGCGATGATCACATGGACATTCGCCATTCTCAAGCCTCTCAGCCGTTGGAGCAAACGCAGAACTGAGCACAAACCACCTAACCACCTGGGCTTGTAGTTTCAAAGAAAAGCACAAGGCTCGACCCAAAAAGGCTCGCCCGAAATCGCAGGTCAGTCCTTCAAGACAGTCATCTGGAAGATGAGGGAGCGACTGGTGACAGGGTCGAACCAACGGAGAAAGAAACCCATCGAACACAGGGAGCCACGCCGGAAGTCGGAACCGGAGCGGACCTTCCACCGACCGCTTGATGAACGAACGTTGGAGGTGCTGCGCAGCCGCCAGCCGGAATACTCGAGCACTCTGCAGAGGGCTCCTGCATACTGAGCGCGGGAGGCGCCCGTCCGAAGTCGACTGCACAGCGACTTTGTCATCCTCCGGCTTACTGTAATTTAAATCAATTAAAGCTCTATAGCATGCTCAAAGCATGCTTTAGCCATACCAGAGCTTGGTAAGAAGAGTTCTAGCACACATAAAACGATACATGTTTTAGACAATTCGAGTCTTGAGAACTAGAACTCGCCAGCTATGGTACCGTGTGGAGTTGCAACCGGAGCCTTTGTGCCCGGCACTCCGCAGTGCTTCGCCACCGGAAAGCATTGAGAGTTATCTCGAGCTGTCATACCTTTGTTGCAGAATGCTGCAGATGAAAGCTTCATTTGACTCTACTTTGATACAACATATGATATTAGTAATATGAAATGGTCTTTAACATATACATTTCATATGATATTACATATATGTTTTTTTTATCATTGAAATGTATAATGAAGGTAGCTTCCAAAAGCTACTAGTGTATGTTAAGCACATCTTACGAAGTGCGGGTGGGGCTGGCAGGTTGGGATCTGCCGCTCCAGAAGATTTCCCTTCTCAATTTGCTCATGACACCCCTCCTTTCACTGATCAATTTGCAAAAGTGCCCTAGACAAATTGATTCCCCCAGCAAATGCCACTAGATGTCCATGCATTTCCTTTCATTTTGGCGGTGTGGCATCGTAGCAGCGGACACTCCGGCACATGGCACTTCTACCAAACTAGATCGACATATCAAGAGCATCAACCGGAGATGGGGTCAAAATGACCGACCCTTGGATTTGAGAAAACGAGCTTCAAGTTTTCCGGCTGCGGTCAGAGGTCAGCGACTGTGTCTGCAAAAATGCACTCTCCGACGGGAGCGTCAACGGTCTAAAGTTTAGGGGGGTCAGATGGCCTTGGCCGCGCAAAGACGGCATCTGTGGTCGACACAGAGAATAGTTTGAGTTGGACTTGTCACTAAAGGTCCCAAGGCTTCAGGGGCCCCATGGGTTGCAAAACAAGCAGTTAGGCCTCCTAAGCGTACCAGGGGTTTTAGAGATCGGGGGATGCGTAGGACAACCGTCCAGGGATGGTGGAGGCTCTTACTATCATGATCATGTCGTTCGGCGCATTCATACTCGCTGTTTGTGGATCAAGCGAGCAGCCTTAAGGGACCAACCTCGCAAAACCGCAGCGGATGAGATCTATGATCGATAAGAGGGAACCCGGAAGCGTCATTCTGTGCTTTTGGATGGGAAACCGGATCACATCCTACCCCTATCTCGCAACTGGACGAATGGCGGTGGTTCGTGCCTGATCATGCTGGGACACTTCCCAGATAGAATGCCAGAATATGCCAGAATAAGGGTTCTTGTTGACAAGTATCATAGGCAAATGAAGCCTGTTCAGCCCAGAGAGGAGAGCATCCCCGCCCGAAGTTAAGGAGCTCAAGTGGGCTTCCAGGAGCGCCACAGAAAACTTGGAGCTCCAGGAGCCCCTAGGAGCGTCTTTGCTCCGTGCCTTTTGCTCCTGGTGTTATTTTTCCTCGTTGACCGCCCTGGGTCTCCTTTTTTTCAAATTTCCCGGGCGCTCAATTTCCATGGAAAGCTCTGTGGACGTGGCCGAAGCGCTGCGGCAGCTGGTGACGCAGCGCGCGCAGAATCGGCGGCCCAGCTCGGCACAGCCGGTGTTGCACCGCTCAGAGTTTGTGCCTGAGCATGGTGAGGACAGGATATATCTTGACAGCGGAGGCCATCGCTAGTATAGGTTGGAGGCCATCGCCCTTTGGTTGGAGACCATCGCTAGTAGGTTGTTCACCATTGCTGCTGTGGTAGGATGAAGGCCATCATCGCTATTGGGTTGGAGGCCATCGCTATTAGGCTATTAGGTTGGAGGCCATCGTTACTAGTAGGTTGGAAGCCATCGTTGCTAGTAGGTTGGATGCCATTTCTATATATTAGGTACGTTGAAGGCCATCGCTTCTAGACTGGAGTTTTTGATTTTTTGGGGAAAGATGCGTCACGGGTGATCATGGGTGCGCTTTCACGGATGCTTTTCCCTGTTTGTCCTCTCCATATGGCTTTTGGGTGCTTGAAGGAAAACACGGGAGGAGCCCGGAAATGTGGAAGAGGCTTGTTGTACGTCGGTTCATTGGCAGTTTTCCCTTTTTGAGGAAAGTGAAGAATGAGGTGTTGGGTGGCTCAGATTTCGAAGTTTTGGAATGAAAAAGCTTTGCCGGCCTTTTTCAGGCAGTCGAATCCGCAAAAAGCAAGAAACATGTTGTTTCCCAACATCAAAGAGAACATTTATTGCGCAAAAGTGTTCAGAACCGTTCACCGACAACGGAAAGAAAACCCAGAGACGCGAGATGACGCGAGAGCTGAGACAGCTCCTCTCAATCCGTCCAGGAGAACCGAGAGGATTGGAGTTCCCGGATCCCCCCGGTGCAGCATTTGGAGCACAGCTTACCCTTCTTCGAACACATGGAGGAGTTACCAGCACGGGAGTCGAGAAAGCGATTGACCCGCACGTTTTTGCGAAACACGTGCGCGATTGTTGGGCGAACAACCAAAGGTAAGGGGGGGTGATTGCTTGGATGGCGATGTTGAGAACCACCTATCAACAGATCGGCAGATATTATTCAACAACCAGCTTTCGCTCCTGCAAGTATAGTTACTTGGCGTTTTCTACTCTGACTAAACTTTCCTTGCTCCACACTCCCCAAAGTGCCTGGGGCGTCCTTTTTGGGATTTGTTTTTCCTCGAGGAGCGGCTCGACGCCTTGTCGGACCAGCGGATCTCCTCATACAAGGCAGATGCGGCAGATGTGATTGATTAGGAAGCCGTATCAATCTGCCGCCGATCGATTCGATGCGTTTCCCCGTCCCTTGATGGCCTCTTCCGCTCACAACCCCAAGGCATGTTGGCGTCCAGTTTGGGCATCCTTTTTATGTCGTGCATGTTGTGGAGACACTGGGGTTGCTGGTCACGCTCTGGCTTGTCCAGTGAAGGATTGTCATTCGGTGTCAGTAGTACGTGGGTCAGCTGGCAGTTAGTTAGAAGTGTCACAAGTTGAGTCGATGAGGTGAGTTTAGGATCACTGCAGGTTTATGGTGCCTAGGGCGCGGTGATGTGCTGTGATTGAGTTCTTTTGGGGTGCATGAACTGTTATTAGGGCATGAAACATGTAAAAACGTCCCAGCTAGAGTTTGAGAGCTAAAATCATGTTGGCCTTGTTGTTTATTCCAGTCGGATCTACTGTGTACCGGGGTTAAGTCGTTTGGAAGACGGCGTGGCCTTGCGAATGTTTTACATCAGACCCTCCTAAATTTCATATAGCACATATACATAACTATACTAAGCAATCGTTTTACGCGACATTTCCAAACTTAGTAACTATATGTATATGGTTTTTAAGCGCATATTTAAGAGGCTTATTTCTGAAGAACACATGACTTCAGAACGCTACCTGGACTAAGGTTGGGTGTGGTGATACTGTGGTGATTCAACACCCAGGCAGCAAGAAATCAACACCAAAGTGGTCGTTTCGTCCCAGCGTAGGCAAGAACATATGCAGTTTCGAGTTTGGGCGGGAAGATGTGGTACATAGCGTGGCCGGCCATGGTGTTTCACTCTAGTAACAAGGGCATAACTACTAGTAGCGATCTTGTCTAGAGTCTAGGTGACTTTCCATGAGCCACGTGACGTTCCACTGTCGCGTGCCCATGCCGGGTGACTTTCTGCGACCGGTTTAGTCACCACCCCGGCAGATGAGAACAGAAACAGAGGCCGTGACAGACCTCTTTCGCCGCGCAGATTTGCGATGCAGCCAATCGTTACGGCCACTGCCAGGTCATCGAGCGCGAAGTGTTGGACCGGCGGAACACAGCGGAGCTGCTGCAGGTGAAGTACCGCGAGGCGGAAGCCAGGCGCGGCGTGGCAGGGCGGCGCTCGTGCGGCAGCGGGGCACAGTGGGGGAGCATAGTGGACTTGGGAAAGTATAGGGCGTTTCCAACAGAGCTTGGTGTTACTTCCATCCATCGCTGCAAGCTGCAATTGACTTGGGTACGCACTTTCCCTGGCATGACTTGACTTCCATTTGTTCATTGGACTTTAATCCATTGAGTTGCATCCGTGACTCATAGTGTCATAGTGCTTGCCCAATCGGCTTACACTTAGCGTGAATTACCTGATCAGCTACAACGCCCCCACTGTGCCTACAACTATGCGTTGACAGATTGATGGAATTAGCGCGCGGCATGTCACTATAGTAGCACTTCAATTTCACAACTGACTGATGCTTCTCAATTGGTTGGCAGGTTGTAATGGCCAACGGGGGGTCAAAATACATGTTTTTGTTGCTTGACATTCATTCCTTGCGCCTCCGCGGGCTCCAGAACGTTCACCAGGTTCAACCATCGAAGGATTGGGGGGGTTCCCCCCTCTTGTGCGACGAGGGTCAGGGGATTCGCCTCCCCTCTCTCCTTCGAACACCAGGAGTGGCTCCTAAACACCTGGTTGAACTGACATGGACCTCGATGTTCGACTCAGTCCATAACCAACCTCCAGTAGGTGAAGAAGAAATAGAGAGACAGCGAAGAAGCAAAAGCACATGCTTAAAGAGATTCGCTTGACGTGCATATTTTCCTCCCAAGTTGTTTGGTCTCAGCACCAGGTGAACCGGAGGAAAATCCACCCCTCCACCAGGTGCGCTGCCGCAGAACGGCGGCTGGAGCAATTTCGGCAGAACGAGCGCAGGCTGAAGGCCACGCAGGAAGAGATGCGTGTGCTTTGGACGCTTGGCTGCCAAAGCAGGTTGGCTCGGCTGCAGTGCCTTCTTCGCACCGGTCACCGATCGCCCATCACTGCCGATCGCGCCAGTGCTGTGCCCAAAAGAGATTGGTATAGACTGGTGACATCAACGGCTGTGGGAACGAATCAGACAAGTCATCACGGGGAGTTCTGGTTGCATTTCCCTCGTGTTCTTTGCATATGGCCTAATGAGAACGGGGCTCAGAAGCGATTCCCACCGACAAGGCAAGAATCAAAAGTCTTAAGCCTGATTTGTTGCATATATGTGTTGCATATTTTAGTATTTTAGTGCATGTATGTTGTTTATTGTTCCGGAATGTGTTTTTTCCAGATTTGCCAATTAGTGGAGCTTGCGGCTAACTAGCGAA